AGGGGAGATGATGTACCTTCACAAGATGTATAACCATCTCCATGATACTGAACACCATTCACCACAGGGCATTCACAAACTCTTCCTCTGAATGTATCCTAATCAAGGAGAAGCAACACAAAAATCCATTAAAAATGAGAACTTCTAGAATCTTAAATTCTGTAAGCAAATAGAAGTGGCAGAAGTACAAGTGAACAATTTAATTGGATTTGACTACAACTAGGATCAATTAAAAAATTCACTCACTGAGCATGTGAATGTGAGGGGCATATTTTACAATTACTATCTGCAGTTACAAAAATTAACTAGCATACCCTCGTATTTCTTTCCCAGATTAATTGGGACAACAAATTTAAAAAAATTATGAACCTTTTTTTATAACAGAATTTCATTAATGTAAACAAGCTACCCTAACAGAAGTAGAAGTCTGATAGTTACAAAGCCTTCCTGGATTACCAAAAACTATTCAGAATTATGAACCTTACTTCCTTGTGACTAAAATATAAATTTTTAAATACCTTGCAAGCACTAATATTAGATCGAGAATCCATCCAACATCCACCATTCCTTTCCTGGCACTCATTAGTCTCAATATCTGTAGAAGTGACAGAGGCCAATGTAATATCCAATCCTATTTAAATTTCAAGTTCAGTAGCCAGGATAAAACAATATAGATTTGGAAAAGAATAGGGATGCTGACCTGCACTTAAACAAACCCGGGGCTCTGTTGTCTCTTTAAATCCCGCACATATAGCCTTCAGAACTGCAGTCCTCTCCAATTTACCTTCAGAATAAGCAGTACAACAACTTGTAAAATCCCAATTTGATCGTTCAGTTTCAAATATTTTGTGATCATGCTGAAGTATAGTATCATGTCACAATCATATTCAAAATTACCAAGGCTTTTGCAAGGAGTTAAATTTCGTTATCAGAGTGTGTTTTAAATATAGGTATTTTCTTATGTTTCTTGTTTTTTCCCTATTTCTTTTTAAACCTTCATCTAAACTTCCTATGTATTCTATAATTCATTATTTCTTCTCTTCTTCACTCATCTGTTTATTTCATATAAATCTCCCTCTATATGATGCTCCATACATATTTCATTTCATTCTATCGAAACTGAAACAAAACCTAAGTTCTGGATTTCTTGTCAAAATTTAAACCCTTGAACCTAGGTGATTGAATCAGTAAAACTAAAAAGGACAGGGTTAGAAGTGAAGTTATATGAAGGAATTCAGGAGTAGCTCTAATAGGTCATAAAATGAGAGAAAGTAGATTGAGATGGTTTGCTCACATGCATAGAAGGCCATCTACAGCACCTGTTAGGAAAAGTGATCTGTTACAAGCTGAAGGAGCTAGAAGAGATGGGGGCAGGAGAAAAAAAAGATTGGTGGATGTCAAAAGAAATGATGATGATGATGATATTTACATAAAGCAATGTGTAAAACAGGATAGTTGGGACAATGCTTAGATGATGATGATGATGATGATATTTACATAAAGCAATGTGTCTCCATAAGTATGAGATGAAAAACCAAATATGGTGATTCATCAAAACAAACCAAATACGGCAATTTCAAGGGTTACAAGCTCTGATGATAAGTTGCCAAGCTCTTGGCATTTTGATACCAAGGATGTTAGTTCAGAATCTATCTGTAGGACAGCGCTAAACCACTAACCCCCTTCCTGAGACACACACATAGCACATGCACATTTCCACCTGTCCATCCACAAACACCTTCATCTCATCATAGCTATCACCTGCTTTATGGCACCCAGAAATTGGCAGTATGAATCCTGTTCATCTTTCTGAACTCTAAAGGTTGCATCTTCTGTTAAATAATTGGCTTGCAAATCCCTCCTTATTAATATTACCTCAATGAAGGCTCCTTTTTTCCTCCACCTTTCCCTTTTAAGGCTTCGAACTTATGCTAGATCACTCCTTTTTGAACATGCAGGCATGTATAAACACACTCACATAATGGTATGCAACAACAACCATCAGCACATTAAATGACATGTTGATGAGAAAACCACCTCAAACCATAACTAAGAAAAAGTAGTAAAAGAAATAAAGCTATATGTAAGTTCAGAAACCATAATCTTTTTATTTCTACAGATGGAGACCTAAGAAAAATGCTTACACATTGTTAACAATTAAAACCAGTAGCTTAATCACTAAGCTTGACAACTTCAATAATTCCTTGTAGTTACCTTCTTATACTACACAATGCTGTTTTTTATTCATAAGAATTCTAAAGGCCATTACCCAATGATGGTCCCATCTTTCAGGGTATTGGGAGGGGTTGACCGGATAACGACCTAACTATGGTTTTGTTTTTGGCACAAAGTGGCGGTTCTCAGACTTAAACCTGCTTTCTCAACTTGTTAGACCGAGATTTTACCATTACACCAAGCAATGGCTCCTAATAAATAATACGAGCAATGAGTGCAAACATGCAAACATTATGACTCATTGACAAGAAACAAGAGCAAGAAATATGTAAAATTTATAGTACTTCCATAGAAAGTGTCAAGTAACAAACCTCGATATTGAACATTATTAATAACCAAGGTTGGCAAAATGGTAACATCACCACGAGATCCTCGACCAACCTAGATTGTAAAAATTGAAATACATAATGAGTTTGCATAGTCCTGTGAATGAAGATAAGAAACCCATGTCTTTTTTGCATCAAGATTTAGAGATCGCTTTTGTTCAGATAGTTACTTCACAATGACATGATAGACAAGTATGCTCATGGGGGGTATCTAATTGTTATCATCAATAAGGATGATAAAGCAAAAAAAAAAAAAGTAGATATAGAAAAAAGAGACCTGGAGATCTTGCTCAATCTTCAAAACTTCATTCTCCACATCAGCATCAGGATCACCCATGCATTTTTTGACCTTCTCAATAGGCAAACCTAACAAATAGAATGGCATACATTAAAAAGAAATGAAAAAGAAAACTAAAACGTTTATATTGTATATTGTTTCATTGAATGTACACAGCAGCACCCACCAAGTGATTTAATAATATCCTCAGCACAATCTTTGCTATATTTCTTCTCCTTCATTGAACACCTGATATGGAAATCTGTAACAAAGTCCCACCAAACCCAAGAACGATTGCTTTCATTAGCAACTCTGTGCACACAAATCTGCCGCAGGTTCTCAATCACCACGTCCTTCCCTTCATACCCTTCTCCAAAATCCTGTTCTGGGTCTGGTGCACAGTACCTCCCATGATTTATACATTGAGATTTGCATTGCTTACTAAGTATGAAGGCCTCTGGACAGTACCAAGTTATATAATGGGGTGTAAATTGGGTATAACCTCCCTTCTCAAGAATCTGAGCGTGACCCCTAAAATTCTTCACAAAATCCATCTGCTCATCACAACGAACCCCACATTCATCATTGCTGTTGGTCCAGAGCTCATACTCAACCCTCTCATCAGGGTGGGGCATGGATTCTGTCCAATCTAACCTTATAACAACATCATCACCCTTCAGTAAAGCCTTCTTCAAACTCTCACCAAAGGACTTCTCTATTAAAACTGATGGGATTGTGATCTTCTCTATATAACCTTGCGAATCGGTGTTCTCCTCTGGAGAATCCATGGTAATCAAAGGTTCATCTATACTATCAGCCACTAAAACTGCCGCAGCCCCACCCTGTTGAGCATTCCATGCCTTCAAAGCAAAGTAGCAATCTGAAGGCAAAAGAAAATAAATCATTATACATCCATCTTTGAGACATCAAACAAAAATAATTTGGAGATACCAGTTACAGTCTTACAGAGTACCAATCAATTATTTGTACCTACAGATGATTAAATCAATACTACAGGAAGCTTCATAACAAAATAATAAAAATAGAAATACAATAAAAATTCCACGATGTTACAAAACATTTAGATCCATTAAATCAACAGTTTATGGCATTATACCCTTAACTTCTAAATAGAAGAACCACTTTAAAAGGATGGAATCAACCAATTCTATCAACACACACACAGGCGTAAACGTACTAAGCACATACCAGAATCAGAAGGCAGGAATCAGATAATCCAAATGAGAATTCAGAAATAGAAAACTACCCATCACAGGAAATAGTTTGCTTTCTAGACTATTTAAACAAAATCATTAGAAAAAATATTAAAACGGAAAAAACTAACACCTAATCATTAGTAACTGCCACATGTTAAAAGTTGAACGAAAAAGATCCACCTCAAATTACACAACTGGACATAAATACCAAAAAAATTTACACAACTGCACACCAGTGAAAATCATAGAATTTCGTTCATAACAAGCTCAATCAATAAAAATTAGCAGCTAACCATCACAGAAGTGATCCCAATTATCGCAGGTAATCAAATTACAAAGATGGCAGAACTGAATTAATTACCTCCACGATCGAGGAGAACAATGGTGGGATGAGAAGACCGGGGCTTGAAAGGCTTGTCGCCCTCGAATGAATTACAACCATTGGTGCCCTTATCAGGGTAAAGAACAGATCCCATCATCGTTCCTCCATAGTCTGGAACACCGAAGTTTCCGATCGAACCATCGTGCTTCGAGCGAAGACGCTCGGGTGACAGGACAGTAATACTGTTCTTCTCCACAACGAATCTAGCATACACAGAGCTATCTAATACCGTCAACAGCAGCAACAAAACTAGGAATTCTCTGCCAAACGCCATTGAAATCTGAAACTTTCTTCGTTTTGTGTATATGGGAGCCGAGACTGAGAGAATCGGGTGTTCTGAAGAACAAGTACCCGAGGATAAGAAAATTTCGGATGAGCGTGTGAGGATTATTCACAACGGAATCCAGGTGAAGAGGGAGAGAGAGAAGACTTTTCTTCTCGTCTACATCTCCCTGGTAACGTGAAATAAACGACATGGAGGGGTTGACGGAGTAAGCGGAACAACCATGGACGAGACTTCAGAGAGAGAGAAGAGCGAAGGGAGATTGCACTAATTCTTTATTCAATGACCAATAAGTCCCCGATCAATGATCATGACATCACGTTGCCTTAATAGCTAAGAATCAAGAGGAGTGTCAACTACGCATCAAGTTTAGCAGTGAATCTCAGTGATATCAAGATCAGATGGTTCTGAAGAAGGGATGGTGGGTCCTACTGTCCTGCAAATTACTCCGTCTGATTGGATCATCAGTATCTCATCTAGGATAACTCAATCAATCCAATCAGATCGTTCAATTAAAATCACATGGGCCCTACCTTGAATTACCATGTTTTTACCTTCTTCCACCATGGGCAAAGCATTGGTATTTGGTAGGTAATATAAATAAAGAATAAATAAAAATAAAAATATTAGATACTACTACTACCAATCAAAATTATATGGCCCCCGGCCCCCATTGGTAAGTCAATTAATTTTAGGGTAAATTACGAAGACGCTCCTGAACTTTAGTCATTAGACAAAGGCCCCCTTTCGTTAATGTTCTGTCAGTTAACTTCAAAAAAAAATTTATTGGATTGTTTAAAGTTTTTTAAATATCCAAAGTATTCTTTTTATACTATTCATTGTCTTCTCCATTGAAATTAGGTGAAATGACTACAATAAAAACAACGATTTTGGAATTCGTCATTCTCCACGTAGAACCTAATGTGCTTGAATCCCTTCTTGAGCCAATGATTCTCCATGATTTCTGAAATTATTATTTTGGTCAGAGAGTTTGTGTCGAGAAGACCGGAAAGGAGTTAAATAAAGCTCCGGGGTGAACCAACAAAGGCACCGAAACTCACCCTTGCAAATCTTTCTTTTACATGGCCATGATGTTTTGGTCATGGAAAAGAAGATAATCAGCAATTAAAACAAACAAAATCACTCTGTAGGACCAGATATCCATTTCCTAGGTTAAATAGGTTTTAAGAGAAAAAGGACAAGAAAAAAAAAATAGAAAAAGTTTAATAGAGTATCTTTCCACCATTTGACTTAACGGCCAAGGTGGTCTTTGTTGTAAAAAAATAATAATACAAAGGGAACTCATAGTACAAGCGGAATCTTTGTAATTTACCTTTAATTTTAATTTAATTTAATCCAAATAAATAATTTGATTAATTAAGAGAGATTAGGTAAGTGATTGAGCAACTACAAGTCGTTGCCCCATTCTTTAAGTAATATCGAGAGATGATGTATGCCTATGAGATGAGCAATTTCATTCACCCATATAATATCTACTAGTATTAATTACTTATTTATACACTATGCATTTTGTACATATCCTGGGCTTTCAAAATCAACTTATACCTTCGTTGACCAGTTCCACATATGACTTCTGTCATTTTACCGTTTAAAACTATTAATAATTCACTTCCGAAAAATTTATAATACCAAAGTTATCATTTAGACTTCATTTTGAAGGAGTACAAATATAAATATGTATAACACAAAATCTTGTATTTTATATTATTTTACATGTATTTTTAATTGCACATATTTATATTTGTACTCCTAACAGTCATAACGATCATTCGATAAAGCTGATGGTACTCTTTGAAAATTTATTCGAAGGATAATAAAAGATAAAAAGTCATTTTCTATCAATTCTGTAAAATATAATGGCATCTCATCTGAATAGGGGACAAAAATTTTTAGCAATTTCTAGATTGCATTCCACCTTAGGATCTTAATTTGAACTGCAGACCTACAATAATTTAAATTTATTAACACCTCCACCTATAACACTCATATCCACTTGTAAATTGGCATTAATTCCGAGCCCGCACCTACCCTTAACCGTACCATAGAGCTAAAATTTCAAAGGTGGACTGAACAATAAAAACCCCAAAGTTTTAATGAATTCAACCAATATTATAAAAGTGGTAGACAATGATATTTTGGAGATGGGATGGTTTGATTGGTCAAATCTCTTTTGATGTTATGTTTTTCAGCAGCATAGATTTTTCATAACAAAAGTTATAAATCATGAAACCTTTATATATTATTAATTGTAGGGTAAATTCCTGAAACCTTCCCTAAAGTTTGTTAACTACAATCACCTCCCCTGAACTTTCATATACATAATTGTAAGTAAACCCCCTAAAATAGGCATGAAATGTCCAAAATACACATGTAATTACTTTGACCAAAATATTTATTTTCCAAGTTTTCTCTACACATGAATCATTACCCCAAACCCTTTTGAAATTTGATTTCTTCATATCAATCACTCAAAGGTAAAGGTGCAACTTTAAAATTCTCTTTTTTTTTTTGTTTTCATAATGTTTGTATATTTTTTTTTTTGTAGAAGCCCGTGTAAGTGCATTTACTCATGTTCAAGTAAATAAGACCATAACAATTTTAGCCATAAAAATCTATTATTAAAAGGGGCATTTTTGTCCCATCCAAGTGTTGACAACTTTCCCCAAGGTGGGAAAGTTATTCATCCACTTGGGAAATGGATGGTAAGTGATACTATGGAAAATAAATTTCCCCTGGTCCCCACACAATTCCATTGACCAACTTTTCGTTGTCTCAAAATCCAAAAAAAAAAAAACAAATGCCCTCTTAGAGAATTCTAAGGGAGGGGGTTTACTTGCAACTTCAATTTGTGTCATAAAATTCAGGGGAGGTGATTGCAAGTATCTTTAGGGAAGGTTTTAGCAATATCTAAAACTTCATTAGAAATTTCAGCAATTTACCTTTAATTATTAATCAATTTAGGATCGGTTCGAAACAGTAAAAACTAGTGCTGTCAATGAGTCAGATTTGGTCGAAAAACAGCTAGAACCAAAACCGACCCAACATTAAACATTAATGTTTAATATATATTAAATATTCTATATATATTATACATTATCTTTTATATATATTTAATATATTATATATTATACATTAGGTCGGACCCGACCCATTGACAGCCTAGTAAAAACAAGTCCTGGACACAAACCCGATCAATAGAGGTTTGCTGGGTTCGGTTGAGTAGACCCGAACCCGATCCGTTGACAGTTCTTAAGGAAAGTCGTCTGACCGAGTCTGATAATCTGTGTGGGACCCGGAAATTTTTGACATTGACATTCACTGGATAGATGATGGATGGACGTATGATTTGGTGCAACGTTATGGTGGGCCATGCATTCTGTTTGTATCCAAGTGAAAGTCTACCCTCTAATTGGACCAATTCTAGCACTGACTTGAGAGAAATTGAGATTGCGCTAGTACTTACAGTCCCAGGCCATCGCCAAAGTAGAAAAGAACGAATCATGTGATGGCTAGTTTCGTTTCATCAGATTCGGAGGAGCCATAATGGTCTTTATGTTATCCACGTGTACAAGGCAAGACATACGGAATAAAAGGGCATTATTGTCCAAGAGAACTGGAAAAAGGCAACTAGGCCGGATCATTTTCGTTTTCTTTTTTTATAATAAATAATTAGTTGAAACCCATGTGATGCATAAGATTTTTTAATCGAATTGCAAATTAGTTAAATGGGTTCTCCCTATATACTTATAAATAACTTACCACAAAATTTCATCATAAATATTCCCATTTAATTCTTCACCGCATTAAGATTTTAATTTGGGCTATCTCATTGGCCAATATATTCATTTCTTAAATGCCCTTTATCATATCACTTATAGACCAATCAAACCCCACCAAATAATACAAGAGACCATTACCTCTAGAAACCTCATTGTCAGCACCTAATTCTCTTAAATGCCCTTATTGTTGAAATCATAATTTACCTCGAGCACCAAATCAGACTATTCCGATCCTTCCGAAGTATCTAAAAATCCTCAAAATTTTAACCTAAGATTCCCCTCCGTTTATTCTTTTATTAAACCAAGATTCTCTTTTGAACCCTCTCATTTTCTTGAAGCATCCACAACACAAATCTCCTTCATTCTAACACCTATGAATTAATTAGACCATACAATTGAACCCTAGACACACCAAAACATTTACCCATAAATTTTCAACTTAAAATTCCCCCATTTGCCCCATCGAACAAATATTCCATTATGAATGCTCTCATTCACCCAAATTTTCATGATTTTGGCCCTCTAAAATCAATAAGATGTTTCCATAAGATTCTAAACACCATAAAAACCCTACCCACAAAAATTCAACCCAAAATACTTTTGTTTACCCCTCCATCACACCAAGATTCTATTTCAAAGCTTTGCATTAATTGAATCAAGTCCTTTCCAAATCTGCCCAAATCTTTGCATAATTGGGCCAATATGATGCTACCAATCAACCCATAATGCTAAAAAACACCACCCTATCAAATTCCAACAAAAAATTCCCTCATTTTCTCTTCCATTACACCAAGATTCTATTTCAAAGTTAATAAGTTAACCAAATCACTACCCCTCTAGATTTACCTAATCTGATCCTATTTAGGCCAATCTGACCCCACCAATCAATTCAAAATGCCTAAAAACCCCAACTTGTAAAATTTCAGTCAAAAATACTTTTGTTTTCCCTCCATATAAAAAGATTCCATTTTAGCCAATCTTATTGGCCTATACATGCAAAACCACTGTATATACTCAAATCTATCTCCACCCTTCATTTTTTTAACCCAAAATACCCACCATTAAATTAGAATTTTGTTTTGGCCTCCTTAGACCTGAATTGACTAAAATACCCCTGAGCTTACTAAAATTACCAAAATACCTAAATTAAATTAAATAAACAAATAAATACCATAATTATTTACAGTATTTTTAACGATATTTTTGTTATTAATTATGGTATTTATTTAATAATTTAATTTATTTAATTAATATACATTATTTATGAAAATAATATAATTAATTAATGGTATTTTGATATAATTAATTAGTAATTCATTAATTAACAATATTTTTATTAATTATGGTATTTATTTAATTATTTAACAATATTAGATGTATTTTTTGTAAAGCTAGGGCCCTACCCTGCCCCACCCCGAATGGGGCAAGTTTTCTCGAATCTTAAATAAGGATGGGGAAGAGACAAGGTGGGGATGGGGAAAATA